CAGAAATTCTGGCTGTGAAAGAGTCATCTAGAAGAATGTTTTGAGGCTTAATGTCAACAATGTATGATTTGCATGCTACACTCCTCATGCAAATACAAGAGCCCTCTTGCAGTACCCAAGGCAATTTGCCTTCTTTGGTACGAGTTAGGCCTTGATTCTCCAAAGAGGAAGCTTGCTAGGGAACCTTTGCTCATAAACTCATACACAAGAATTCGGTGCTGCCCCTCATTGCAGAATCCTAGTAGTTGGACTAAATTTCTGTGATTTGTTCTGCCAATTGCACTCATTTCAGCTTTGAATTCCAACTCATTTTCTCCAACAATAGTGTCCAATCTTTTGACAGCAACACATTTCCTGTTCTCAAATGCTAAAACTCCTTTAAAAACTGTTGCAAAAGCACCATGGCCTAGTTCTTCCTTGAATCTGTTGGTAGCTTCATTTAGCTCCTCGTAAGTGAAACATTTCACATTCATGCCTGGCATGATTAAGTAAGGTTGATTCACCCCTGCATTTTTATTATAAATGCGAGAAACAATCAAGTAGGTTGTTAATAGTAAAACCAAGTTCAGAAACCCCGAGCTACTGAGGAGCACTGATCCAACGAGGATCATAGTTGAGTTATTTTTTTCTTTTGCATTTGGACCTTCAGGTATCAAAGTATCTTTCCTTATTTTGATGAGAGCTTTTCCACCAATACTGGGGTTCATCCTCCCATTCGATAAAGGAATTCTCTTCTTCAAACATTCTCCATTGTTGAAAATAGCAACAGCACAAAAACAATCACCTAAGCAACTTTGTCTGCACCAATTCTCTTGTACTGATGTAAATTGCTCATAATCACCACTGTACCACTTCGTGTTTTGCATCTCCTGAAGATAAAAAAGATTTGTCTCTGATGAGGCCTCGTCGCAACTTTGTGAAACGAAGTTCTGTTTGCATCCTTTCAGCTTATCATTTAGATGAATGAAGGAGTAACCATATGGGCACTGGCAAACTGGTCCTTTATCATTATAACTGCATAAGCTGTTGTACCCACATGCCCCACTGCCTATGTCTCCTCCGACTCTAAAGCAAATATCTGAAGGTTCAGAGGTCAAAGGGGACCAAGCCAGGGGGGTTCCAGCACTTGAGCCATTGCTTTTAGGGTGAACAGAGTGCCTCAAAATTCCATCATACTCCAGAGTAGCTTTCTGGTAGAAATTCTTCATTGAAACTGTGTTGGATGATACCATATTAAGTATGCTTCCGTTCTTGGCAGTAAGGTAAATAGACCCAGACTGGTTGAAGATGACCTGAAAGCCGGTGCCCATAGTCATGGTTGCATAATATGCAAAGTTGGGAGATTCCAGTGGGAATCTTGTTGTGTAAAGCAAGAGATTTCCATCAGATTGTAGTATAAACTGGAATCTTCCTTGTGAGTAGTTTGTTTCTGTATAGCGAGCAAAGAGTTTGCCATTCTGATTTAGAGTCTGTGTGGGTAGGATTGTATCAGTTGGTACATCAAAACTCTCTCACAAATTGGTTGAGTTTGTGTTGGCCAGCCCAAAATTTCCTGTGTCAAGCATGGCGGCATAGGCCACTTCTGTGCCAGCAGAATTAGCACTCCATACCTGTCCACCTTCCGAGTTTCTAAGCACGAGCATTCCATCACTAGTAAGTTCAACTTTGGATCCTTCTTGCACTAGATCATTCCGATTGGCTGACCAGACTATGGTTCTATCTGGTATTTTGTTGAACCAGATGGCGATGGCAGGGCAAGTCTTTTTCAATCTTTATATGCAGGGTAATCACTTGGAAGCTGCCTTCTTTTGAATCCTTCAAACACATTCCTCTCAATCCTGCTTTATCTTTTATGAGTGAGGTTTATTAAGTGTATATGAGATCAATTACCCTAATCTTTGAGTCTGCTCTGATTTCACTATGTTTATATTGCATATGCATAATTTTTCAAGTTCAGATAAACATGTACGCCATAAAAAATTCATCGCGGTTTATATGTGGAGTACATGATCAAATACTGAAAATACCATCTTTTATTTATGTAACAGAAAATAAAATAAGAAAATACCATTTTTTCGCTGTTCATTTTTTCATGCAATGTTGTTAACAAGTGGGGTTGACATGATATCTTTTACTGTCAAACGGATTATGAAAGAGGAGGTGGAGCTGAGACTTCAACAGTTCCTTCAAGCATCAGTGTGACTTTCTTCATGGTGGGTCTGAGTGATGGATCCTCCTGAATGCACCATATTGCAATCATCACATACTTCTCCATCTCGTTGATGTCATTGATTTCCTCCTCATCATTCTCGAAGAGCCGCAGCTTCTTTTGCATATAGCAATCATATGCCCAATCAGCTAGTATCATTTCATCTTCATTGTCTGCCACTGCTTCAAAATGCTTCCTGCAGAAAATAATCTCTAACAACAAAATGCCATAGCTGTAAACATCAACCTTGACTGTGATAGGTAAGCTTCTGAACCATTCAGGGGCCACATACCCTCTGGTTCCCCTGATAGCAGTCATGCTTCGAGTCTGGTCCAATCTCAAAAGCTTCGCTAATCCAAAGTCAGAAATTCTTGCTGTGAAATAGTCATCAAGAAGAATGTTTTGAGGCTTGATGTCACAGTGAACAATTTGGCTGCTGCACTCCTCATGCAAATACAAAAGCCCTCTTGCAATTCCCAAGGCAATTTGCCTTCTCTGGTACCAGTTTGGCATCGATTCTCCAAAGAGGAAGCTTGCTAGAGAGCCGTTGCTCATGAACTCATATACAAGAATTCGGTGCTCCCCCTCAGTACAAAATCCAAGTAGCTGGACTAAATTTCGGTGATTTGTTCTGCCGATAGCACTCACTTCAGCTTTGAATTCCAAATCATTTTCTCTGACCTTAGCGTCTAAACGTTTGACAGCAACACACCTTCCAGTATTAGACAATAAAACTCCTTTAAAAACTGTTGCAGAAGCACCACGTCCTAGTTCGTCCTTGAATTCGTTCGTAGCTTTTTTTAGCTCCTCATAAGTGAAATCCTTCAAATTCATGCCTGACATGACTGGACGAGGTAGAATGACCTTTGCTTTTCTAGAATAGATGCGAGAAACAACCAAATAGGTTATTAATGGTAAGAGGATGTACAGGACCCCAGAGCTACTCAGGAGCACTGATCCAACAAGTATCAGAGTTGAATTATCTTTCTTTTTTGTGATTGCACCTCCACTTGACCAAGTAGAGTTGTCTTTCCCAAATTTGATCAGAGCTTTTGAATTAACACTAGAGTCAAACATCCCATTCGAAAAAGGGAGTCTCTTCTTGTAACAGTCTCCCAACATGTTGAAAATTGCAACAGCACAAAAACAATCATCTAGGCAATTCTGTCTGCACCAATCCTCAGATTCATTCTTAAAATGCTCATAATCTCCGTAAGGAAAATTTGTGTTTTGCATGTCTTTAAAATCGAAATGATGCTCTGGTGAGGCCTGGTCACAATTTTGTGGAACAAATGTTTGTTTACATCCTTTGCGCACATCATTTGGATCAAAAAAGGTGTAACCATGAGGGCACTCGCAAATTGGTCCTTCCTCTCCACGGCTACATAAGCTGTTGAATCCACATGCACCACCGCCCATCTCTCCCGCAACTGAAAAACAGATATTTTCAGGTATGGAAACTGGAGCAGACCAAGCCATGGGCCGACGTTCGGCAATTGAGCTAGCACTTTTAGGATAAACATAGTGCCTCAAAACTCCATCATGCACTAAAGTTGCTCTCTGGTAGAAATTTTGTATTGAAACTGCATATGGTGATATGGTATTGATTGCGCTTCCATTCCTGGATGCAAGGTAAATGAGGCCAGACTGGTTGAAGATGACCTGAAATCCAGTATCTGTTTTGGTTGACCAATAAGCAGAATTGGCAGAGTCTTGTGGGAAATTTGTAGTGTAAAGCACGAGATCTCCATCAGATTGTAGTGCTAACATGAATCTACCTCTTGAGTAATTTGTAGCCGTGTAGCGAGCATAGAGGCTGTTGTTTTGATTTAGAGTCTGTGTTGGCAGGATTGTATCAGTTGGGTGTTCAAAACTCTGCCACAACAGCGTGCTTGAATTTCGGTTGGCCAGCACGAAATTTCCAGTGTCTAGCATGGCTGCATAGGCGACTTCAGTACCAGCAGATTCTGCATACCATATTCTCTGGCCAGTTGCATCTTTGAGCATAAACTGGCCATCACGTGTAAGTTCAACTTGGGATCCTTGTGGCACAAGATTATTCCCATTGGCTGACCAGACAATAGTTCTCTCCGGTATCTTATTGAACCAGATGGCCAGTAAGAACCCATCTTTTACAATCT